AACAGCCGAACCTCCCGCGTGTGATCCCAAGGTCAAGGATGTTCCGCGTCAGGGGTTCTGTTCAGCCAGCTTTCAAAGCAGCTGCTGGGAAGTGGTTAGAGTTTATCGGAGCTGAAGTGCTTGGAAGAGAGACAGATTAAAATCAAACATGGAAAGTACAGCTCCATGTTGAAAACCCAACTTGCCAATGTTTATAGAAAATAGTTGGGATCCCAGGTCACCTGGTCAGCAGGTGAAGTCGACAAATATTTAGTGAGCTGGTTCTGGATACTGAGCTCTCAGACTCAAAGGGGAATGAATGAAAATAACTACCAGGTGCTCCAGAAAAGAGGAAAGACTGCCTGCCCCCCTTCACAGACAGAGCCGAATCTCCAGTTGGAAAAGGAAGATACATTCTTGACTCCCCAACCTACTTCCTCAGCAGAGCCAGTTCCTCCTTTCCGGGCAGGCTTTGCAAACTCTCCGGGCCACGGTTCCTGCTGTGTTTCCCTTTCTCTTAAAGAGGCTGAGCTTCATTGATTGTGAGAAACCCAGAGACTCTAAGGAGCCCTTTATTATCACCATCAAACGGTCCATTATGCACTCGCAATAGCCGATGTCTACGACACAGGTGTGAGCATCACCTAGAACTGGGCTTGATGGGCTATCAGTGTGCAGGGATGTGATTGTAAGTACCCCCTGAAAAAGGGGGTTCCTTGGTCAAGTAGGTTTGGGCACAGCAGAGAATAGGGATGAACACATTCATAGTTATGAACAGGAACTATTTCACTCTGCCTAACCTCGAACTTCCCCAAATTATGTAAGCACAGACCTTTTCTTTTTCCACAAAAGACTATTAACAACCAACACGACTTGTGCTTTGTGGAACATGTTGGGGAAAACTAATAACTGTCAGGATGACAGTCCTAATCGTCTGGTGGAGTTCTGGGCTCTAAGCTAATATGTAATGTGGTGTTTGGGTGAACGCAGCCCCTGAAGTCTGTGCAGGGTGTAGGACATGCGGGTCCTGGCAACAGCTGTCACCGACCACGGAGATTGGGGAAGCTGTTGAATCTCTGGATTCCTACCAGTTTCTTTCTTGATTTTTTACAGAAAGGAAGGGAGAGGGATAGAGAGTTAGAAACCTCGATCAGCTGCCTCCTGCACACCTCCTACTGGGGATGAGCCCGCAATCAAGGTACATGCCCTTGACCGGAATCGAACCTGGGACCCTTCAGTCGGCAGGCTGACGCTCTATCCACTGAACCAAACCGGTTAGGGCCTGCCTGTTTCTTTATCTGCAAAAGGAGTCCACGGCACCAGGGTTTTCTTCCGAATCGAGTCTAGTAATCTCAACAGTGACTCAGGAAAAAGGGAACTCAGCCTGGAGTACAGTTACCTCATTGAGTCCTGAGAACTCCACTGCCAGGCAGGCACCAACATGACCTTTTACAGGTGGGAACCCCCCTCAACGGGTTGTCAACACCCCATTGCGCTGCCGTTGAGGTGTGTTGGGTCCCAAGTCCACACTCACCCGACCCATGATCCCGACTGACAGCAGAAAGCTCCCCTCAACCACGCCCCCCACCCCCGCTCATCTCCTCTGGAACTGTGTCCCACACCCTGGAGCCCCGAGGTGGGGAGAGAGTGGGTGTCATGGCAAGGTCCCTGGGAGGGATGAGGACCCAGATCAGGGCACCCTGTGGGGTGGGGGTAGATGTGTGGGGCGGGATGGCATTTACACGAACATTTGGGGAGCTCCATCACACCACACAGCCAGTTCAGCAGAGTGGCTACATGAACAATGTTGAGTTGTGGGTTCCAGTTCTGCCTTTACCCCTTATCAGCTTTGTGAGCTCTGGGCAAATTTCTTAGCCTCTGTGAGCATCAGTTGTCTAATCTGCAAAATGGGACTGATAACAGTTCCTGTTCGTCAGGATCACTTGGAACATTAAAGGGGATGAAAGTATGTAAGGCATTTACTGTAAATGCCTGGCACACTGCCAGGGCTTACTAATAACTATAATAAGTAGTTAAAATTTGAGTATTGACTGTGCATCAAGTACCGTTTTAAGAACTTTCTTGTATTCATTCACTTAAACTTAACCCTTTTGGTGGAAACCAGTATTTTATAGATAAGTAAATGGATATAAAAGTTAGAAAGTGGTACAGTGTGGTTATTATTAGCACTGTGGCTATTGTCTTTATTAGCAATATTTCCTGATTATATAATACATAACTACGTCTATTATATAATATTTCCTATTGTATTACTATCACCTGTCTTGGTAGGTTGTTTTCTGAGTCCACTGGATTATGCAATAGAAAGCAGGTAGATGTGGTTTTTATTTATTCACCACCAGATGGCAGTATATAGCGGTTATTTAATCTATGGCAAGCATGTCAAACTCAGAGGCTAACACTGGCCAAATAAACAGGGTGTAAGTTTATGTGGGCCGCAAAAAAAACCCAAAAGCTCCAATTTTCATAAAAACGTAGGTTTATTTCAAAAACTATAGTATATAAAAAAAGAACAAGAGCAGTGATAAAATCAATGTTTTCTTCCTGACACTTGGCATCTCTTCTCTGCTACGATCTTTCCTACTTCGGGGGAAATCTTGTTTGCAGTGATTACTTTCAAAACTGACCCAAGGTGAATGTCAGTAATTCTGGATCTGACAGGAGACCTATTTCCTTTCATAATTATAAATAACTGCTCACCCCGTTATATTGGCTGGGCCGCAAAAATATTTGTTGTGGGCCACATGCGGCCCGCAGGTCGCGAGTTTGACATGCTTGATCTACAGTAATTTGAAGAAAGGGACTTTGTATGGGAAAGGTCTCAGAAACACGAGAATTAGGGCACAAATAGTGTAGGTGTTCTGCCACGTAGAAAAGTTAGGGAGGGAGTGATGTGGTAAATATTTGAGACAATTAGTATCTCCTATAAGCGGGCCATGAGGTTTATTCAGTCATCTGGCCAGACCACCGTGGGGTCAAAGGCTCCTGCAATTCTATTTAGGCCTCTTTTGATGCAATGACTGCTCATCAACCCCTAAATGGGGGAATCTGGGTTTCTCTCTCCCACCTGTATGTGTGGACAATGATTCTGAGGGAGAGGCTGGGAGAGGAAGGAGCCTATGGGGTGTGCAAGGGTCCAGCTCCTCCCCCTGGATCCCACAGCGAATCTTAGAGAACATCACACCCAATCACCTTTTTTATAAATGTGGACTCGGGGCTGGGAGCCTAAAATAGAGGACAAGAAAAAAAGTCTGTCCCATATCTGTAGAGGACCCTTGGTGTGCAGAATTGGGATCCCAAAGTTTTTTTGAATTACAGTAAAAATAGATTTTGCACTTGAAAAGACTGAGTAAAGTTCCTACTGGAGGCTAGACTCTCTACCAGTTATTAGGACACAAAAAGGCAGAAGATCTCCCCTGTCTGTTAAAGGCCTCATCACCCATTCATTCAACAAGCATGTCTTGAGCATCTATATGATGTGGCAAGTACTGGACTTGAGTCCAGGGATCTGGAAGGAGTGTACAGTCCAGGAAAGGAGACAGTTATATAAAGACATGACTAATAACGTGTTTTATTGAAATGTTATACCATCTGTTACATAAGGTGGGAGTGCCTGAGTAACCTTGGGAAGATTAGAAGAGGCTTGTGGGCAAAGGTGAGCAGATACTGGTGCAGGTGGGGTCCAGGGTGCACCCCAGGGGGAACGCAGTGCCAGCTCAGGATCGCAGGAATGCTACAGGGAGGCGGGATGCCACCTCTTACACACTCTCTCTTAAATGCACCCTCCAATGAGGCAAGATAAAGGTAGATAAGGTTTTACATCGAGGAGGCAGCTTGATCATCTAGAATTTGCAGAGGCAAACAAGGACAATGCACACACTACTTTCAGGATCCCAGTAGGGAGAACAGGCTGGTTCCACTGGAGTAAGCTAGACAACAGATCCTATCCCCATGTCGGGCTGAAGATGGAAATGGTAAGGGAGTTGGGGAGAAGACCCAGAGAGAAATAAAAGAAAGGAAGGCCTGCAATCCTAGGGCCTGGCTCCTAACCTTGAGTGCACCAGAATATCCTAGGAGGCTGGGCCTCACGCCCAGACTTCTGACTGAGCAGGACTGGGGTGGGGCCCATGAATCTGCATTTCTAACAAGTTCCAGGAGAGTCTGATGATGTTGGTCCTGGGAACATGCCTTAACAATCACTATTTGGGAACGATGGTCTTTATTGCAGAAACCCCACATTGCCTGGGGAGATAGAATAACTGAAAATCTTTCAGGGTGAAGATCTAGTTGGGTCTCATGTGTTTGAGAATTGTAGCCCCAAACAACAGAAGTAAAGAGGAAATCGAGTTCTACTCAACCTGAATGTGCCAGAAAGATACAGACTTTGGGGTTTACTCTGCCTACTGGTTTTAATGTTTTAGATACTAAAAACTGTAGTGAAAGACCAAATAATCGAAAATTTAATGGATAGTAGAAAGAATAGACTTTCCCCCATAGCATTAAAACAAGAAAATAGCTTACCTGTTGTGAAGATTGTCCATTAGGTTTCTCTTAACTTCTCTTCCTATAACAACAAAAAAGTTGAAAATTGAGGTCTGCAAGTTGCCTCCGTGTCACAGCCAAGTTGCATCAACAAAGTGACAGAGAGCGTTTCCTCAGAGGCGCTAGGCAGTGATATGGGGGATGGAGCTCCTGATCTGGAACAGTCAGCCCAGGCAGACAAGCTCTGAAATTCACCAGGCCCAGCTCCTGACACTCACCATTCAATGAACAATTTACCCACACTTCAGTATTTCTTCTCTGAAATAAGATTGCAGTGAGATTTAAATGGCACAACGTGTGAGCTATTTAGCCCATGCTGGGCATGTTGGAATTGTTCAATAACCCAAAGCTATTGCTCTTTATTACTGTTGACAAACATGACTTGACAACACATCTCTTCTCTGATGGGTAAGGTTTCAATTCAGCAGAAATTCAAGGCATTTGCTTCTTGGAGACATATCAATAAAGTTTCAATGAACACATGTAAAATATTTTAACAAAATACATAATTTAGAAAATACTAGTAGCTTTGCTCATAATGAAAATGATGTATAGAATTTGAAAGTAAAGCAAATGTGTAGACTTTTACCAATTTATCGATTATTAGAATAATTCACTATCTATAGACACAATTTTTAAAAAAAATGCTCTTATCCTACAAGCCACTCCCCTGTTAAGAAGCCTTAAGTAGTTCTGCATTGCCTACCAGTCTTTAGTGCACTCAACTAAGCATTCACGGTCTTTCACAATATGGCACCATTGGCCTTCCAGCATTACCTCTGAAACTCCTTAGGCCACACCTATTTCCAGCCAATCTGGATTTTTCACTATTTTCTAAACATGCCTATATTGTTCTGTTTCTATGCCTTTGCACGTGTTATTTCCCCCAGTTGGCTTGCCTCCATGCCCATCGATATTTTGCAAAATTCTACTGATCCTTCAAAACTTATTTCATACACCACTTCCTCCATGAAGATTAAAAAAAAATCCAACTAAAGGTAACTACTCTGTTCTTTTACTTTCTATAGGACCTTCAACCTCTTGGATGAGTCTGCTCACTGTATGCCTTGGGTGATAGTAATTCATTTATATAACATTCCCTCCATTAGACTGTAAACTCTGAGGAAGGAAAGGCCCTGGTTTCATCATTATTTATCTACATGTTGTACTTGTTCACACGCTGACTTACATTGAGGTGGTACATTGCATGTCTTTAAAAAGAAATTGACATATGATGTTAAAAACATCCTATGTTCAATGAGGGTCTACCTTGAGTACAATTATACAGAGATGTGTAAGACATGGTCCATTTACCCAAGAACCTTCTAAGATGAAAATGAACAATATCCAGAGACAGAGTAAGAATTTTACAAGCTCTAAGCATAGTAAAGATCATGTATCCAAATAAAAACAACCACTATAAAAAAAGACACTTCAAAGAAATTCTATTTTTTTCCTAGGATGATTTTTTGAAATAATAAATTCTTTCAAAAGAAAGTATTTTTGGCACACTTGCTTTGCCGGTGCCTTAGGTGCATGACTAATTTGTTGGACAAGCTAGCGTTAACATTACATTGGGTTGTACGTGTTGAGGACCCAATGACTGGTACAGCTAATCAGTGCTAAGCATCATGGGAGCTTGGGAGAAAAAGACATCCCAGTGGGATTGGGCTGCCAAGAAAGAGTTTATGGAAAAATGGGGCCATGAGAAATTAGTTAGGCAAAGAGGAAAGTTTGAGTAAAAGCAAAAGGGTAGTGCTCTGACTGGCGTGGCTCAGGTGGTTGAACACCATCCGGTGCACTAAAAGGTCGCTGATTTGATTCCCTGTCAGGGCACATGCTCATATTTTGGGTTCCATCCCCAGTTCAGCGGCATACAGGAGGCCAACTGATCAATGTTTTCTCTCACATTGATGTTTCTCTCCCTCTTTCTCCCTTTCCCTCCCCCCTTTCTCTAAAAATCAATAAAAAATATTTAAAAAATAAATTGAAAAAAGCAAAAGGGTAGCAAAGAATAAAAACACAATGGAGGGGACCCATGTTGCGGATATGGGGGATGGATTTGGTATACGTGACCAACTTACTGAGGCTCTTGAAAACAGGCCCAGAAGACCAAACATGGCATGATTTGGTAAAGAGAGTAGGTTGTTGAGCAGTGAATGACAGCATGATGGCAATATATTTGAAAGCCTCACCTGTTAGTAGTCATCAGGGAACATGAAAAGGGTTAGGTACAGAGAGACTTGCTAAGGTTAACACTTTGAATTAAGTGAAGTGATGTAAGAGCCTGGCGTGTGGTCCCATCTAAGGGAATCCAGAGGAAAAAACAAATTTGGAAATCTACTTTCTCAAGCTTTCATTGATTTTCAAGTTAAACATTACTTTCTACTACCCTTCGTTTCTCTTAGCACATTGGTTTATGCATGTATTATCTATAATGCCCTGAAAAAATTTTGTTGCCTCAGTACCTGTTTCCTTACATGTAAAATGACAATTAAAAGTACCTTTTCCAGAGAGTAATTAGGATCAAGTGAAAGAACACAGTAGAGGATCTAGCACAGTGGTTGGCACAAACTACAATTTCAACAGGGTTAGCTAAGATTTTTTTCATTTGTTATCTTCATCATCAACATTATCATCATCATCTCTTAGTCAGTTTTCTACCTGCCTTCCCCGCTGGCCCCCCCCCTC